ATATTTTTGAAAACAACCCAAACAATTCCAATGTGCAGTCAGGGCTGAGGACCCCTGCCAATCCAACACCGTGACCCGATTTGAAAATATATACATTGATTTTTGTTTGTTGCCTCCTTGTTTGGTTGGCTGGCACAAACGGGGAAGGTTGCTGTGTGTACTTGACTCTCAATCCTTTGATCAAGGGGGGAGGCGACCCCAACCCGCGCCGCAGGGTGCAGGGCGTGGTCCGAGCGTCCTCGGAAGGGCGCGGGAGGGAGGTTGGGGGCTCGGGCCGGCAGGCTGGGCTCGGGCCCCCGCGCTCCCCGCGCCCCCCGACCCCGCGCGCCCCGCTCTAAAGTAAACACGCAGGAGCGGCGCGGCGGGACCGGTGCAGCCCAGCGCCCGCTGACGCGCCGCCGCCCGCTCCCTGTCTCGGTGCTGCGGCCCGGTCCGAGCCATGGCCGAGGGCGTGCCCGCCTCGCCGTCGGGCGGCGGGGGCAGCCGGAGCCTGCACAGCGGCATCATCCAGTGGTGAGCCAGCGGGGTGCCTTCCCACGCGGACCGGCTTTCGAGAGCGGGCTTGGGGCGTCCCGGGGATAATCGGATGGAAGAGGTGGGACAGGGGAGGGGGAAGCGTCCGCCGCTGCTGTCTCCAGCGTGTGGGCCCGAGCCAAGTGCGAGGTCTAGAGGACAGAGGTTCACCCCCATGACCAGCGCCTTTTAATGCTGGCCCGCCCGAGCGCGGATGGGAAAACACACACACACACACACACACACACACACACACACACACACACACATCTGCAAAGGACACACACACATATCTGCAAAGGCCTCCCCGTCGGGAGTCAGCGCTGGGACTGGGTTTTCCATCTGTGGGCTTCCCTGTTGGTCACACTTCCCGCGGGAAGCAATCCAGACTGGCCCCCACGGGGGGCTTGTTGGTTGGCCTGCGCTTAAATATACACATCTGAAAGCACCTGGGCGTTGGCCAGGGGAGGAAATGTTTTCTCTTAGTATAAGATCCAGAATGGGATGTTTCCTAACTTAAAGCAAAGCAATTTTTAGCTTTAACAATGCATTCCACATTGTTTGTGAAATTCACTTCTAGCTATTTAAATAGCAGCAGAGGAAGAAAAAAAGAAAACAAAAAAGAAAAATACCCTTAGCCCTTGTGACTGAGGAACTCATGGGTTTGTAGCTCTTCATAAATAGGAAAATAATTTAAACCAGCCCTAGGACCTTAGTTTTATAAGGTGAATAACTATTGTATAACACACTACATTTTTCTTTTTTTAAGTTTCAAAAAGTATTTCTAAGCGAAGACTTTCTGAAAATGTCGCATGAGTAAAATAGAAAAATGAAGGGTGTGTTTGTGATTATAACCCTAACAGGCCTAAACAGTTACCACTTTCCTCCAAAAGACATTTTTTGATATGTCTTATCTTGCAAAATGGGAAAAAAAATGAAAAGAATAAATATTGAAGCACACTATGTTTTCAGTAAGCGTTTATCAATTATTTCAGGTCACCATTTAGTAAATTCGAGTTTCCAGGGTTTGAATTATGCTTCAGAGGCTTAAAAGAATGACTAGAGATTGGTTCAAAAATACCTGAACACCCTCCTAAGGTCATTTGTGAACTTGAGGCGGGGGGTGGAGACGGCCCTCCAAAGGCCCTTAGGATGGTGTAGACCATTTTAGCAGTGAGCCGGACTGATTCAAGTTCCGTGCTATCACTCCTTACCCCTACAAGGCTCTGCCCCACGGGGTCACACTCTTTAAGTTTGGGGGGTGGCAGTGGAAGTAAGGAGGGGTATCACTTCATTGTGGAGGGCTGCTCTTTAGGCATTCAATCAATGAGGTGGGACATTAGCAGATCATTGGCGCTGGTAGTTTTAACATCAGCATTAAAAACAGCCTCTCTGCTCATACTCCAGAGTCTGACATTCTGGGGGGCGGGGGGAGCAGGGTGTAACAAGATGCCCAAGGAGCAGTACTGGCAAAGGCTGGGCAAGTGGTCAGTAAGCCAGCTTCCAAGTGAAAGGCCAGGGAGGGGCCCCACTGTTGTCCTGTGGAAGAAACATTTTCCACATCAATTCATTGTTTCATTTTCCAATCAGTCATTTGTTAGGTCCCCAACATGTCTTGGAGACATCAGGGCCATTGTCATCTGTACAGAATAAATTTTCCAAGCAGAAAGGTCCCAGGAGAGCTGGCTAGTCTCAGGAAATGGAAGTAATAGAAAGTTTCTGTTTCACAGACAGGAACGGGGAGAGAAGAGGCTAAACCTGTGAGCGGCACAAAGGGATGGGGAACCTGACTTCACTTGCTGGGGCGCAGAGCCAGCAGGTCCGGCTGGGTGGGACTCTGGCTTCAGACCTCGTGTGAAACCCTTAGCATCCTCTGATCCCTACGCGTGCGGAGCCCTGGCTGTAGAGTAAATAACTGTCTCCAGTGTACAAATAAGACTTTTAAGATTTTCTGCAGACTGTTGAAACTAATAAAATACAAAATTTACTTGGAATGGTAGAGAATTCCTAGTAGCTTTTGATCAGCCTGAACCAAAAGGTACTATAATTCCTAGTGTGGCGGGGGCTCACCACAGCTTTCTTTGTGATGAAAGGGAGTACTCAGAAAATGTGGGAACCACTAGCCGACTACATACGTGTGCTCTGAAGCTGGCAATCATCAGATTGGCCTTCACTCAAAACAAGAACATCATGAATGTCCTCAAGATCCTAGTAATCTACCTTATCTGACAGCAAAACTTGCAAAATATTATTATGCAGCAAAGCAAGGAATCTAGTGGTCTGATCCACTTCAAATGTGGACAGGTCTTGTAATCATGTATTACCAGAGGATGTTTTGGTGGCACAGTGTAAAACCCTGAGCCAATGTCACCTGCCAGTACTTCTGCCTGCACATTCCCTGTTCAGCCTCTCCCTGTGGCCGCAGGTGGCTGGAAGTCAGGCTCACCTACAGCAGGCGTTCTGTGCTGCCGGTCTGCCGACAGTGACATCTTTCTTGCTTCCATTATGGATTTTGATGGTAGATGTAAAAATGATAATATTAATAATAAGAGCTTTCATGTGCAAGCCAGTGTACTAGGCGTATCATGCACTTGTTTTCTAATCTCAGAAATTCTTCAGTGTCTCAGAGTCAGAATTTAAACCTGGGTCCGTGAGGTTCTAAGCCCTGGTAATTATGATTGTGATGATCATAATTTCCCCCGTGTATGGAGACTAAAGGCGGAGGCAACTGCTATTATAAAACCCACTTTCAATCCCCCGACTCGCCCAGTTAATGTGTTCTGACTGCCTGTCACAAGCCGGTCTCTGAGATTCGGCTGAGAACTTGGGGAAACGACCAAAGGCATGTGGTCAGAAATGAGGTGAATCTCTTGGAGCAGGCAGGATGAGAGCAACCAATCTTTGGGCTCAAATCCAGAAGGCAGCCCTTTCTTTACGGGCTCTTGGTCACACGCCTTTATTATTATCCTTGTTAATAGTGTTAATTGGCCTTACTAGTCCACTCAGATAACTGTCAGTCTCCATAATGTCGTTTTGAACTTGGAGGACGATTCATAGACGCCTAGAGCAAATCAATGTCTGCGACAAGAAAGAACAATCAGGAAAAATTTAAACTAGAATTCATTTTAAGGAGTTTGTATTTTGTACATTTCTTTTTTAAGGAGAGAGTTCCCTGACTAAATCTGTAGTAGAGCTATGAATAAACAGAAGTGAGTTTGAATTCGTTGCATATCACATTTTGCCACAGCTCCCCAAACTTAGCCAATGTTTTTCTGTGATATTTCAGATATAGAGGATTTCATATTTCAAGTGGTATCTTAACAAGAGAAACATAAATGTCTCCTAGATGTAGGAATTTGGCACTTGCCACTTCAAACTTTGAGATGAATAGTTGATGCAGTAGCAGCTATATTTAAACCTCTGTGAAGTATCTGAAGGGTCAGGTTCCCAGGCTGATGTTGCAGGAGGCTCTCAGAAAAATCTACCTCCCTCGGGCCCGTACTGGCTGAATAGGATCCCCTCAAAATTCATGTCCACCCAGAACCTCAGAACGTAACCTTATTTGGAAATAGGATCTTTGCAGATGTAGTCAGTTAAATTGAGGTCTTACTGGATTAGAGTGGGCCCTAAACCCAATTGCTGGTGTCCTTATTAGCAAATACACAGAGAAACAGACACACGGGGAGAAGTCCATGTGAAGACACAGGCAGAGATTGGAGTGATGCATCTACAAGCCAAGGAACACCAGGGATTTCCGGCCATCGCTGGGTGTGATCTGTGAATTTCAGGTGGAGCCCCTCACGGCCAGGGAAGGCACCCTGCCCCAGGGCCAGGAGCATTTGGGCAGTTGAAGGTCCCACCTTGAATAGAAGCCACAGGCACTGCAGGTGACACGTAAATGCCATTCTGTACCCAATAGGAAATAAAGAAGAATAAAAGTGTGCAGCCCCTCTGTCTCTTGATGTCTTGCATTTTACGTCTCATTGCAATTCAAAGACTCCAAATATAGTACCCTGTCCTAAATTGCAGGGGTTTAAGAACCATGCAGGCAACTGCTTCAGAGTAGAGGGAATAAGGGAGGAAAAGACGTGAGCACATGGACTGGGAAGCTGAGTAAATAATTCTCCACTTTACAGTTCTGTAGATATTGTTGCAATCTTTACAAAGGTATATGAAATAGCGTCTGCCGAGCCCGATAATTTGGGCTTCCTTTTAGCACACCAACCTGCCCCAAACAAACAAAACCAAAACCTACTATGTTGATAATCTAAAAGCCCATAATCAGTATACTTAACACTGGCCTAAGGACAAAGGGACACATCGATGCCAGTTGTGAGCCTTTGCAGGGTTCCATTCAATAAAGAAGACATATTGCATTTATTTGGGGACTCCACACGTGTCTGACCATTGGTTTTGTCAAACTATCTTGCTCTAGAAAAACAAATGCCAATTTCCTCTTCCTTGTCCTCCTCTGCCCCCAGGTTGGTTGATAATTTCTGCATTTGCGAAGGGTACAGTGTGCCTCGCTATCTCATGTATGAGATTTACGTGGAGACCTGTGGGCAGAATGCTCAGAACCAAGTCAACCCAGCAACATTTGGGAAGGTAGGTTGTGAAGATTTAGAATACTGTATTCACTAAGTAAGTGGGGGGGGGGGGAAGGAAGCAAGTTAACTGAGGAAATTTTGAAATGTATTTGGGTCTAATGGGCTCTCAATGGGTATAATTGGCTTCCAACCTGGGAAACTGATCAGGTGGTCAACACACTTCATCTCCATTGAAAAGCCATTCTGCTGGCCACCTTTCTTTGTCCACACTTGATAGTGAGGGCCAGGAAAGATGAGGAATGGGTGGCATCTAAGGGAATGTAACTGTGGCAGCTCCAAACACTCTTTGGGGAGCTGGGTTTGCTGGCCCATTTATTCCCTGCATAGAAATATCAAGGCTCAGCACCACACAAGCTCTGAGAGCCACTTTGTGGTGTCAGACAACTGATGCGTGCCACAATTGGGTAGTACTTAGAGAATTCATTGGCTCTTTTTCCTCTGGAGTTAAGACCTATCTCCAGGAACTTCTTGCTGGACTATGTGCTATAGAGCAAATATTAGCACATGGATAGTCTGAGACCCTCTGCATTCTACAAATGTTTATTGAGCAGGTGCTATATGCCAAGCCCTGTTTTAGATGCTGGAGATACAATAATGAACAAGATCAATAAAAATGCTGCCTTCACTGAACTTCTATTCTGGTTGTCACAGCCACCTAGTTCAGGCAGGTAGCATTAGTGTTTCATGGTCAAGAAAACAAACCAGGAGTGATTAAAGCTAAGGGTCCCCCAGCTAGTTGCAATGCTCAAGTGGCAAATACAGCTTCTTGAATTGCGGTTCAGAGCTCTTTCCACTTGCTATTCCCCCCAAAATGTTCTTGAGTTCAAAGAGATGTTGGAGGTCACCTGGTCCAAGTGCACACTGAATATAAGATCTGTTCGAAAGCACCACTGGCTAGGAGCCCTCTGTGAGAACAATATTCCCACTCAGGGCAGAGACAGCCACAGGAGCAGAGAGGTGGGTGAGGGGACAGCACATTTCTGCAAAGAGGAAGGTGGTTCATCCTCTAGACAAACAGTCCCACACCAAGATTTGTGGCTTGGCAAGCAGAACCCAGGCTGATAAAAACCCATGAAACTCCTCATCAGGGGCCGTGGTGTAGTTCACAACTTGCACAATCATGCCACTTTGAGTGGCCATCTGGCTTGGGCTTCAATGATCTAGGTGACAAGGAGCTTGCTCACTGGGCCACAAAGCTGCAAATTCAATTTCCTCCCTCCTTTCCTCTTTCCTTCCTTCTCCCTCTTTTTAGTGGTCCCCAGGTGGACAGAATTGGACTGGTTCATGACACACTTTCGTCATTGATGCATGCAGCGCTTGATAAGCATCTATGAACCACCACCCAAAAGGAACCGTGTTGCCATTTCCCCCACATCTCATCTCCTTGCCCTCCCCACTGGTGGAAACCATCATCCTATTCATCAATATCTTGCCTTTTTAAAACAGAGTTTTAGTGCATTTATTTGTATTGCTAAAAAGCCTATTTTTAATTTTTGTTGTTTAACTTTATTAAAAGGGATATTGTGTTGTTTGCAATTTGGGGCAAGTTTTTTTACTTAATATTATATTAAGATTCATCTAAATTCAATTGACTGTTGCATAATATTTCACAGTTTATGCATCCACTCTCTCGTTGATAAGCATTTGGGCTGTTTTCAGATGTTGCCATTGTGAACACTTGTGTACATGTGTCCTGGTGTGCATGTGAAGATCTTCCCTTGGACCCGTATGTCCAGGGGTGAACTTGCAGAGGCAGAGGGTGCATGGCCAACCAACATCAAGGGATGGGGCTACCCTGTTTTCCAAGGTGGTTGCTCCAAGTCACCTTCCCATCAGCAATCCTGTGGATTCCAATTTTTATTTTCAAAACATCGAAATGTCTGGATCCATTCTTCCTATCAAAATCTTCATCCCTGAAATTTCTTGGTCATTGGTGGAAATTTTGCACTTTTGATAATCATAGAATCTTCTAATATGGCAGCTACTCAAATATTTGAAACAACTGTTCACAGATCCCTGTCTTCTTGTCACCACCCTAACTACTGCTGCCTTCCAGACCTTCACCTCCCTGCCCACCTGTTTCATTATGACTTCAATTATTGATGTTCCTCTTAAAGGTACCCCCAAGGGTACAACCCAGTGCCCAGGTATGCTCAGAGAACAGGAGCGCTTACTTTTTATTTTTCTTCTTGGTACTATTGGCTTCTATTTTTCTATGTCACTCTGTTGGTTTCACTTTAAGCTGGTAGTTCAACAAAAACAACCCTTAAGTAATTTTTCAAATGAGCTGAAATTAAGCTAGGCCTCTTAGAATGGTTTCGTAAACTGTGAAATACTCTACGTACACATAAAATGTAGTTGTTATTATCAGATGGGTATCATCCTGCAGTTAACTCTTTGAACCCAAGAGTGGCTATCCCCTTGTTCCTAGTATATCTCCCCTCTTCAGTTGGACCTGCAGTTCTATTTATCGCTGCCTTGTAGAATCTCAGGTAGGTCATCCAGCCTCCCCAGCCTGGTCAAGCTGCCACATTTGAAAAGCACATCTCTTATCACTCCATCTCGCTGGGTGACTCTGAGTAGGGTTTTCCAACCAGCCGGGAATTGCCTGACTATGTTATCACTCAGCCCACACTTTGCCATTTCATCACCCAGAATATTGGAAAACTTCATCCAAGGCTTGGCTGAGTTCTGGTATCCTGGTGCTACAGCCTTTTCTTATGTACCTACCTAAGAGCCTTTCAGAGGGACATGGGTGATGATAGCTGGACACGCCTTGGCACCATTGGATCCCTACTTCCTTTTCTGTGATAGCCAAAAGTCTTTGTCAAAATCTTTTTAAGATCTTGTTATACGGTTGTTTCACCTCCACAGCAGTCGCACTGTAGAGTATGCCAAAGAAAAAAATTTAAAAAGAGACTCCAGCGTGTAACAACATGCATTTATGTAGCATTTTTCATCTTAATACTCCCCTTAGAACCTATTCCCCAAGATGCCAAGGTACTAGTTTTAAGCTCTCATGGAAATTTGCCCGAAGAATGGGCCACTTCAGTCAAGCTGGGAAGCGTCTCTGTGCTGCTGAATTTGTGACTAAATGGAGGAGGGAGGGGAAGGGGAAGAGGATATGATCCCAAAGCATGTTTACAAGAGAAACAACAAAATACCCAATTCTCACTTCCTCCCTCCTCCCTGGGGAATGGAGTTGATTTCACACCGAGTTCCTGTGCAGATGTTGGATTGTTTCTTGCTCTTTTTGGCAGTCCTGGGCATACGATGGGTAATGCTCATTGCTGGTGCAAGTGATATTTTACATGGATTAGGGAATTTCCGGAAGGCTGACTTCCTCTTTTGAAATAACATTCACTGATGTTTTTCTGCTTATAAAAGGAATATATCCCCTTTGTAGAAAATGTGGAAATTAGGGAAAAGTGTATAAAAAGAAGAAAATGAATACTGGCTGTAGCCTCCCTGTCCAGAGATACAGCCAGATGATTACAGTTCACCTGCACACGTGCACACACACTTGTGCATATGTCACCAACTGAGCGGGGGGAGTTACCACACGGTGATTCCGTCTTCCTTTCTCGTGTCCCTCTGTACCTGCCCACGGCATGGTTCTTCCCCTAGCCTCTCAGCGGGCATTCAAGCAGGCAGCATGACCTCACCAGAAATCTCTGGGTGATACAGTCTTGCTGTCACTAGAATTCACCCAGCAGTATCAGTCTGGTACTTAGAGCGTCCAGTCCCAGATGATAACACTCCAAATTCAGCTGAAAATGGAGCTGTTTCCCCATCTGCTCCAGCTGGGTATCTTGCCACAGAGAACTAGGTGCGTGGGCTTCTTCATGCCCTCTTCCTCCTCCCCGCCTCTCACCAGGTGTGGTTTGTCCCCTCTGGGAGGGAGGGAAGGAGATAAGAGTGGCTGGAAAGTTCTTACTTCATGGCTGCATGCTTTTGGGGGCAGGTGGACTCCCTGTGCCATGGGTCCTCTGATGGGCTCTTCAGAGCCCCCCTTGGAAATGTCCCCGTGCACATCCTGTGGCTTCGTGAAGGACTCTTTCCTGGAATTCACTTGCTGCCTGCCCAGCAGTCCCCCTCCCAAGGCTGCCAAGGCCTGACTGCCCGACCAGAGCCTCAATGGCAGCATCTGAGCTTTCCCACATGCCAGCTGTGTCTCACACATGGCCAACTTCAGGCCATGGAAAGGACTCAGCCATTCTTGGTGTGCCAGCTGAACCCAGAACAGTGGCCATGGCCAGCCCTGCGCTCACTGCCCACAGGAGTCCTAGACCATCACCAGACACCAGCTGCAGGGCCTCACCATAAGCTCTTCAAGTGACTCATGAATCCCCTTCTGTGAGGCCTGAGGTGACTGTCCCACATCCCTTCTGCACGTCCTTCACAGGGAAAGGGGGGTCTTGCAGTAAGAATACCCCTTAGGCTTCCTCTTCTCTCTCCCTCCTTGTGGATGATTAGAGTTGAGGGCTTTTGGTGAGTTTTATAACCAAATTTTAGCCAAATGCCTGAGGATATAAATCCCCTAGGGTGTGTGTCTCACAATTCACTTTGCTACCTGTTGTCTGTTGTCTTCATGCCTCATCCAGTTGTATAGATACTATGTAGAGAGATGGATTGACAGATCCATGAATAGATGGATGATGGACGGACAGACAGACAGATAATAAATAGATAAGACAGAAGGACCCCTCTGAAGACTTTCTCCTTCCCAGTTTGATTTTTGTCTCCTCTTTAGGCCGTGGGTACTACATGATCTCTTATTGCGTCCCTATCTCCTGGTCACATCTCTCATAAGGACTTCTTTTGTTAAACCTTTCTTCAGTTATTTTCATTTGAGTGTGCCATGCTTCCTGTCAAGACCCCAACTACAAAGATAGATAGATAGGTAGATAGATTAGGGAGAGAGAGAAATAGATAGAGAGATATAGATGGATAGGTAGGTAGATAAATAGAGATAGGTAGATGAATAGATAGCCAGCA